TATGAAGCACCGTTAATGCCATGCGGTTGTATCCTTCTCTGTCATTTTCCTACTTGTCATACAAAATATTTTGGAGTTATATACCATGGTTATGAGTCCTGACCATTTTGAATCCAACAATTTCTGGTGCTTTAAGGAATTAACGAGATACCAAGAATACGGGAAAGGCTTCCATTAAGTATGAATTAAGAATAAATAAATGGAACGCAATACATGAATGTGTGACCTGTTTTCGGATACTCTGGCAGTGTTTTCTCCTGCCTTTTATAATCATCCAAGCTAGAGCTAGAGGTCCGTTAGCACAGTATCCAGCCAGCTTCTCAAAGCTAGAGGTAGTCTTTGTATTTTTGCATACCTTTGAATGTTTGTGTCATTTTATATCTTTATTAAGGTTGACCAGAACTGTGTAATATTTTTGCCATTTTTCTCATTGTTTGTGGCTTTTTAAGCTTAAGTTTTCCTAGGTAAGCAGAGCCTTTTGTGGTACTACTTACTGTCATGCCTATTTGATGAGCCTTTTAAATCCATTAGGCTATTCTAATGAAGTTGGGAGACAACGAGGTCTCAGCAATACTAAATTCCTGACAGTTCCATGAAAATCAGTGTCTGGGTAGAGCAAAGAGATACAAATGAGTGCTCCGTTAGAGAAATGGACAGCACAGGCTTCACCATTACCTTTTCTGCCATTCTGTTTAGGGGCGTATTTGCTGGCCAATTATCACCCATATAATTCAAACCCAGGCAAAGGCACATTCAGGAAACATAGAAAGACAGTAAAGGCTCCAAATAGGAGCTGTGGTGTTAATAAGTTGCAGTGTACAAGAAGGTAAGGCACACGCTAAAAATATTTAGTAGTTCTTAATTTGATGGAAGAACATATATGAGCGTATGTGAACATGTGTATACGTAAACATGTATAGATAGACTTTTGCCTAGTTGTGCTACCTGCAGGTGTTCATTTGTGTGTGTATTATCTGTGATAGAAAAGGCAGACTTCTTGTCTTAAGTTTATTCAGAGACATTTAAGGCATCATGAAGTCAGAAGTGAAAAACAGATTATTTTTTTTCAGTCTCCTAAACTGCAAATAAGAGTGTCTGAAATCAAGATGCGGGCTGCACAATAATTGTTGAAACTTCAAATTAAATAGTCTGTTAGGAAAAAGCATCAGTATCAAAATTTTCCTTAATAGCTTTTTGCTTTTTAGTTGTTTTCCAGTTTCAGCTTCTGACAAGTTGGGGTGATCCATACTACATTGGTTTGAACGGACTTGAGTTGTTCAATGAACATGGAGACCAAATCTTACTAACTGAAAACAGTATCCTTCTATGCACCAAGCGCCTCTGTCCCTTTCAGATACAGTTTGCTCCCTGGCAAATCATCATATGGCATCACTGCTACTTCTTCCAAATTGCCAGTTTATCCCATGTGATTACTCTGCTGGTATGTCTTTCTATTTGCGTGATGATACTTGTTTCCCTATGTTTAATGCTCTTTCAGAGCATTTCTTCTCTGAATAGGATGTACCAACAAAGCAGGTCAAGGTTAGAGAAGGGGAGGCTTAAGAAGGATATGGGGTTTTTTTTGCTATCAACATTTATTTCTTCTGTGGTCTGGAAGGACCAGAAGGTTTGATGAGCTATAAATTCATAAGAAAAGGTTGAGCTCAGTTCTTTGTTATGGAATCTTTTATTGTGCTACAAGAAAGAAATTTTTCATAACTCTTGTTCTGGAGCTTTAGGCTATTCCAGACACCTGATCCAGTAGTGAAGATAAGGGCTGGGACTTTGAATTTGATTCAGTGTTCCCTGGGTAACCAACAGAGGGAATGAAGGACATGTTTGAAAGATTCAGTCATCAAGGTTACACTTCAGTGCTCGGTCTCGGCTGGACTCTCTTAAGAGCTGAAAGCTTCATACCCGAACATGTAATTCATGTAGTTCAGTCACATGGAAGAAACAGTTTCTTAGCCAACTAGAAAGGATAAAAAGCATGGACGTTGCATGAATTGTACGTCTCTAAGGATGCGTATTGCCTAATAAAGAGAGGATACAACGAAAAAGGTAATAAAAACTTTTTCCTGAGTGCTATTTTTATTTGTATCTTGTTTGATACATGATGAACTTCAAACATCTGTAATGGAGAAGAAGCATTTTGAAACTGAAAAGTGGTAACAAATTGTTTTTAAGAACAGGAGAGCTTTAACTTAGCTTTTAAACGGTATGTCTTTACAGTGCCATACAGTGCCAGGTGAAGATACCTCAGCTCATTTTGAGTGATTGCCTGCTCCTGCCTGTACGGTGTTGCTTGGATATATTAGGATCCCCCCAAAAGCACATTTGTCTTAATGCCATACTAAATGTGATAGATAATTCAGTACTGGCTCTGGAACGAGGTTTCTTAAAGTTGAGGCATTGCTGTGTTACTCCTTAAATTCTTTACAAATACAGTCTCGGGCCTTTTAGAAAGGAGGGCAAGGGGACATTAATGTCCCTCAAACTGGATTGCTAGGGATTTATAATTGTGAAGACAGTGCCATCCATCTGATTTCTTTGCGTGTCTTTCACGTACATATGTTTTTAACAGAACTGTTCCGTTATGGAGAAAAACTGGTTACCTAGAAAACCTCTTCAGTATAAAGTTTAATCTTTCCCTCCCAAAGAACTGAAAGGCCTTATTAGCCAGTTCCTGCTTTTTATCACAAAGCTTAAGGAACTCAAGCAAAACCTAGTCTGACTGATGACTACCTCCTGCAAGGATATTTTTCTTGAGATAGGTTTCATATAAGGAGTTTTCATAAGTTCTTGCTAAAAAAAATGGGTCTTTCTCACAAAAAAAGCTCAGAAGTGCCTATTCCTGTTAAGGGAACTTTATCAATAAAGTCATAAATACATATTTGGAAATAAATTAAATGCAGCTAGTGAGTTTATTCCTATTTTTAAAATAATTTTGAATGCCAGTATCTGTAAGGGTTGTCCTGCTTTTAAAAATGTGTCCCCAAGTTCCTCAGCTGCCTGTGTGAAGTACCCGGAGTGTTTTTAAGGTTTACTGCTGTAGTGGCGAATGCTCCCTCACGGAATCTGGAACAGCAAGCATGAACTTTTAAATATGGTGTTTCCGAAATGTACTTTTGGGTTATTTTTGCTTAAAGGTTTTTTTCAGATATTGCTGCTTTTCCAGATAGCGTCAACATTTTAGAAGATGTATCTGGAGACATCCGAACTCCAGACAAACTAATTGACAGAGTCAATGACACGACCGATGGCAGACATATGTGGCTCGCACCAGTTCTTCCTGGTTTGGTACGTTTTCCTTTTCATTCCATTTTAGTGATGTGCGTACACATAGCTAGAAATAAAGGAAAGGGGAAACATGCATAATTTTTAGGTAAATTTGATATTAGTAAACGATGCTAAATCACTGCCTCTTAGAAGTTCTTTTTACCCCAGTTTCTCTTCACTGCACAGACAGCAGCAGAATAGATTTCCCAGGTTTGTAATCTTCTTCTGTTTCCATGGTGCATCAGCAGAAGAATTTCCAACGCTAGAATAGATGTTTTTCCAGTTACTATGATAAAGATACTGACAAAAGAGTTTAATATGTGTCGTTTGTGCCATAAACACCTCTCAAATGGGAGCGGACTGGGATCTTAAATTCGTTTTTACAAAAAGCAGTGAATGTTGTTCCAGGAGTGAGAGGTTTTTTTAATCTCATTATCGGTGTTGAATTCAAATTCATAAATTAGAGATGACAGACTTAGTATTTCATGTCCTAGAGCTCCAAGTGATTCAGCCCTTTTAGAAGCCCTGTGTTTAAAATATGGGGTATCAAATATCTAAACAGGAAAAGTAGATAGACTTTGATGAGTTCTGACTTTGTTTTTGGAGAGGACTTTTTTTATGGGCCTGTTATGGACATCATTAAGATGTATTTATTTCTTAGAAGAGGGTGGATTTCAAAAGTGACAAAATGTAAACCTGACACATGATATGTTGTGGCTTACTGTGTTGGAAAAATCCTTACTCCGTATGTTACAGTTATTAATTAGAAAATTAAAAGCAAGAATGAAGTCAGTTTTGAAAATACTTCATAGATTATTATATGTTGTAATGCAGTGGGTATAATCAAAGTAAAGCTTTTAAATATACTTGGGAATGGAAGGTCTGTGGAGTGCTTGAGGCTCCTACTGTGTAGATCCCACATCTTGAATCCTGGTAATTAGTTCGATGGGATGCTCAGATATCCATGATAGCATCGTGAATGGTTGATTTGACAACCATCCGAGTTTGCTCATGTCTTTATAAAAGCCATGCTGGCAGAGGCTATTAAATTTGGCAAAAGGAAAATAACAGTACCTGGAGTTCTAGCGCAGGTGCAGACAGTTTTGTTTTGTTATGTTTGACACCAAAGTACTGTAGAAGAACATGATATCAGTATTAAAAGGATAAATTGATAAAATGTGATATGCAGGAGGGAAGAAAAAGCAATTTAACGGTGCTTTCTGTCCTTAAGCTGTAGCAAATTGTACCTTCTGCAGGAGGGAAGAAAAAGCAATTTAACGCTTTTTGTCCTTTCTTTCTGTCCTTAAGCTGTAGCAAATTGTACCTTTTCAAGATGCACATAGTACTCTTCTCTCTTCCGTCTTCCGTGGCATGGGTGTACAGCCAGGAAGTGCAAATGGATTACGCAATCGGCCTATTCATGATCATCTGTAATGGGGATGCTGAACCAAAGCTTGTGTACACTTACATCCTCAGTGCTAGGCTGCTTTGAAACACACCAGTTGCCTAGAAAGCTAAATTAACTCTTTGCTCTATTGGAAGGTTCAAAAGCTTTAGGGAACTTTTGTATTACAGCTGTTCTTTTCCTTTCTAAGTATCTTTTCTAATTCTAAAAGTGTTTTTGTCTTTTGCAAATTTATTACTAACGTAAGTACAATTTGAATTCTTTCTTCCCCTGTTACTGATTGTCATTTTTTTTTTATTTGTTTGAATATATTTTCCGTCAAATTTCTCATTTGCTGTGAGACTAAGAATTGCTGTTGGAGACTATGTCCAAATTGTCTTCTGGAAAATCTCAGATATAAACATTGTTATTGATCACATCTACCTTTCTTTCTTCAGTTAAAAAAAATGCATAATGGTTTAATAAACCCAACAGTATCTTTTCCAGTGCATCAAAGGATTAAAGCTTCAGAGGATGCTAGAGATGAAGCTTAAGATACGTTGGCCGAAAGTTGATATAGTAGCTCGTAAAAGGAATAGCATAGAATTAACCTTAACAGGCAAGATTGGTTTCCTACAGCCTAATCTTTCGTCTTAACGTCTTGACATTAATGTCACTGAAAGCAAAATGAACAATACCTCAAGCAATAATTGTTTAGCAAGCATCTGGAGAATTGTGTCTATGTTCCTATTAGTGTACCTCATGCAAAAACTGCAAAATTTCTGCAAGACCTGTCAAAGTCGGGGTATATGTGAGAAATTTTAGTCTTGCAAATAGAAAGGTGGATTCCATTCATGTTTGGTAGAAAGAAAAGGAATGGAATGGAATAAATAGACAAGACACCAGCTTGTCTTATCCTGAAGCACGTGTCTGTATTTGGTTGATGAAATCCTCATTAAAAGTGTCTCTCCCCCCCTCCTCCAATTGCCTAGCAGTCCAGGATGACAAGCTCAGATGTAGATGTCATTTCTGATGAGTTATACGTATACTTGAGAGGGCAGCTCTGGGGTAGAGACAACATCTGTGAATTATGAACAGAGATGATAGCTGAACTTAAATCCTTAGCATCGGTTATCTGTCTTCTAGCTAGATCTCTTTAAATACGCACCTCTTTTGATGGAACATGCATGAGAATTTCATTTCTTTGGGGAATTCATGCTATTAAATATAAATTAATTCTCTTTTTTACAGGTGAATAGGGTATATGTCATTTTTGATGTACCTACTACTGTGTCAATGATCAAGTTATGGAATTATGCCAAAACACCTCAGAGAGGTGTGAAAGAATTTGGTGTAAGTAATTTTTGTATGCATTTTGTATGTTCTGGTGAGTCATCTTGCTTGATTTCTCTACTTATTTTCACAGTTTACTGAAGTGTGATTCCATATAATCTCAAAGGATGGGATTCATCTCATTTAACTCTGCATTTAGCATTAAAATGACTAATCTATGCCAGTCATTCGTCCTCCCTTTCTTGTCCGGGGAAAGAACACTTGCTGATTTTTTTCCCTAGATAATTGTCGTAAGCTAGGATAATGCTTTCCTTTTTGCACTGACTATAGAGCAGCCCTGGAAGACTAGTTTAAACTACAAACCCAAGTTTTAGACAGCTGAAGTGAGGTGAGATTCATTAATTCCTAGATTTAAGAGTGACTCATTCCAGTTAATAGAATGGCAATTATGTAAAACATGGAATACGTTTTTAATTACCTACTTGAAAGCTGCATTAGAAACATCAGTGAGGAGACAAAAACTTCAAAAAAAAAAAAAAACCCAACCAGAACCCAGCAGCAAATAGAGAGAAATGGAAGCTTTAAGGAACAAAAGCTAATGACCAGACTTGTGAAACAAAGACAGCGAAATGATTTCTAGTTAACTGATGGAGACAACTGCTGAAAGCAATGCCTGATTTCTAGATGGTTTCTTTATTTGTTTCTTAAATATCTTTAGCTTCTAGTGGATGACTTGCTTGTGTACAATGGGATTCTGGATATGGTGAACCACGTAGTATCAGGCATCCTACCAACCTGTGATCCAGTGGTCCCGTATCACACCATTCTCTTTACAGACGACGAGAAGATTTGCCATCAGGAGAAGAGAACTGTTATTAGGTACGTGAGTGGATCTTGACTGGAAGAAAGAATCTTGTTTTCAAAAAATGTTTTGACGTGACTAATGTCAGCAATATGTATCTTGCTATAGCAAATTCCCTTCCAAAGCATACGCAGCCTCACGTAATGGGAAATAGCTGATAGTTTTTTAGATACTAGGACCAAATCACCAGCTTTATTTGTTATCATTTTTTAGCACTTACTGGGGTTCATGATTCATATTTGCATATGTTTTCATGGAAACCTATAGTAAGAAACACAAGACAAAGCAGTTAGGCTTCCTTAGAGAAGAAATAATAAATCCCAATGATATTACATGAAGGAAAAAAAAAAGTAGAAAGTTAATGAAAAAGAACCAAACATCAAAAGTAAAGAAAAGAAAGTCCTCTTATTTGGCACAAATATTAATGAGGAAACAAGAATTCTACTATTTTATAAACGTTCTAAAATAATGAACTTCATAAATGAGAAATGAATTGCATTCAGAGGAATGACACTTTGAAACCATTAAGTTGGCAATCTCACAGAAAACATGATGAAACGCAGTGAAAAATGCACTTATATTTAGAAGGTCAGGATTGCTAGGGTCTAAAAAGCAGTTCCTAGCAAGGAAAATAAAGACTGAAAGAATAATTTATTTTAAATGAGATTGAAAAGTGAAAATCAAAAGCTCATGGAAATAAACACTTTCTTATACATTGCACAGCTAACAAAGAGCATGTCTTGCACATACATGACTTGGAAAAAAAGGTGACAGTTTTGCATAAAAAATGGCATATGATTTTGTTCAGAAGAATATTAAAATATTTAGGAAGAAGTGGAAGGAATGTAAGCTGTCCTGATTAAGAACAGAAGTTCACATCTGCCTCCGGGGTTTGTTTCCCTGTGTTTCTCTGAAGCATTGGCTGTTGGCCACTGGTAAATTATTACTGTTTGGATGTATTGTGTTAGACTCATGTTCTTGGACAAGTGGCCGTGTTGTCATGGTAAAATTTGGAGGTAAAAAATTCTTCAAGTGAAAAAGTCACTGAAATGGAAATGTCTGGAGGAAATACAAGTTTTGAGAAAGTTTTCAGAAAGGAGGAGGAGAAATGAACCTTTACTTTCTTCAGCTTAACATCTTTCTATGGGTAAAGCTATTTTATTGGAAACAGAGAAGCACCAGCTGTAATCATAGATATTTTTGATATAACTTCCTTTGCACATATTTATAAGACATATATCCTTTGATTTAGTTTTAAGAGGGGAATATTTTTGGGGTCATGCAAACTGCATGATCTGTTTTCCAGTCCAGAGCATGCTGAGTTTCTTCTCTTCTAGACTTCCTGTGCTGGAGCTTTCTTGGTCCTTCTCCTCAGCCTGTTTCGCAATCTTCTATTTCGCTTTTTCTACCTCCTACCCCACTAAAATATAGGGTACTTCAGCAATAGAAGACAAATCCCTTACTACATGCTGGATAATATCTCTCGATTTGAAAAATGTTCTTGAGCCTTTATATATTGTTGCTTCTGATCTTGGCCTATTCTCTTTCACACGTCGCTGTTCAGTATTTTATGAACCCTGAACTTGAGTCTGATATTATCATCAATACCTTAAGTTCTGATTTACTTCAGTATAGGTTCCCCTGTTTCACTCTGACAGTTTGAGAGACGTTACATTTTTCTCCAAAAATAGAAACCTATTTTGTACAGTATTTGTAGAGAAAAGAAAAATACGCTTCTTTTTTTCCAAAGGCATGGATGTTTTGTTTTTGTCTGTGTGAAAGAGAGATGTTATTAGTGATGTTTTCTTAAACATTCAGTTCAGCTATTTTTTTTCTCTGTAATTTGCTTAATTTAATTGAACTTTGAAGTTATTACTTCTTTCCCAAAAAGAAATTGTTAAAATTTTGCAGCAGCCTGCAAACAAAACTTGTCACAGTAAATGAATTTTGTTTAGTTCAGAAAATTTTCAAATCATGCTATATCAACATTACAAAACAATGTTAAGTTCCATATAAGGATTTTTATACCCTCTTTGTACAGCACTGATTTAAAATCTCACTTTGGTTAATGTGGTTCAAGCTGTGTAGGCAGGCAAGAAAATTGTAGAGTTAATGTGATATTTATATTTGAATGTGTGCCTGAATGAATGCCACTAATTAAAACTGGCAAGAAATCCTTCAGGTGGACGCAGGCAGAATGCCTTTCCTTTCTAGACGGTCCCCTATAAAGCGGCCGTGCTTTAGAGCTTTGTTTAGCCCCCAGGACCTAAATAACTTACTTGGTAACCTTTTCTGTGACTCTCATAACTTTTCACAGTGTTGATTATTTTGGCTATTGTACTGATTTTAGTCTTTTCAGCAATCATGTGGGTGATCAGGATGTACGAATGATGAATGAAAATGAGATTGTCACAAACAGCAGAAGGAAGCAGGCTGTGGCTGATCCAGGTTAGTTCAGTCTTCTACAGTTTTCTTCTGCTCACATCCTACAGAGGCAGTATGGATAATGGACATCATTAGACCTAAACTGGGAAAAATGAGGAGAATTACGCCCCTTTTATATATTTAGCTCTACTTTTTCTACCGTAGGAAGGCTAACCAGGAATGTTGTACTCTGGTGAATTTTTATTCTATACCTAAATCTGAAAGTGGATGATATAAATCAAAGACGTATGTGGCACGTAGTCATAGCTTATATCAACACATACACAGAAGTCGTCAGGAAAGAAACTGAGTGAAGATAAACTGGAAACTGGTGTTAATTGTACAGGTTCATTGATAGCTTTTGGAATAATAGGCTCATTGCATCCTCACTGGCCTTTTAAGCGGCTTTAGAGATGATGCATATGTGTCTCAGAATTAGCTGCTTGTTGCTCCTCAAGCAAATCCGAAATCATGATGAGTGTAACAAGGGGGAAAACATGTTGACGTTATTCCTCCCACTGTCTTTCTGGTTGGTCTTTTCTCTTACAAAGTGATAATTAAAAAGACAACCTCTTTTTTTTTTTCCCAAGGAGAAAGAGTAGATCGTATTTATAGTCTGAAGAGTCCCAGTCATTCATTGTAAATTACTCAAATAGCTCCCTAAATACATTACAAATTCTCAGCCAAGCTGGTATATTCATGATTGGTTTTTTCTCCTGAGCATGACACTTGCTCCAATTAGTTTCTCTGGAAAGTGTTGCAGAAATTATTTGATGGCTTTTAATAACAGTTCTGTAGGAGAAGGATTTGAAATGCCATTGCTTGTATAAATACAGCTTCAAAGTTATTGGTGTATTACCACTAGCTGTGTCAAAAGTATTTTGAATATCTCTCTGCCTGTTGTAATGACACCCTGGTTTTCCAGTGCAGACATACCCTATGTCCAGTAAGGAATAGCTGTCGTTGCCATGGCCATCACACCTGTTGTCCAGGCTTTAAGGACACAGAATGCCTGTGAAGTCTGAGGATTTCCTACTGCCATGTTTCTGCTGTAGTACTTACAGCCACAGTTGCTGGTAACATAGAGTTGTAGAATGCTTTGGGTTGGAGGAGACTTTGGGGGGCCTCTCCTGAGGGAGGCTCCAACCTCCTACTCAGAACAGGGTCAATACAGAACTCAGACCAGATTCCGTAGGAAAGCGATTCCGTGGGACTGTGGAAAAAAAACTGTCAGAGTAAGAAACATTCCTGAGAAGAGTAGCTTAGCTTTCGTTCTGGGATAGAAAGAGAAATGGGCATGTTTCTTCCTCATTTTACTCTGTGGTTTCACTGTATCATACAGATAGAGTCTTAAAACATCACTCAATTTTCCTTAACAGCGTTGCGTCCAAAAACCTGCATATGTGAAAAAGGACTGCAGAGGAGGAAAAGATAACAAGGGATTGTGGTTGGAAAGTCCTGAATACACCCAGCCCCAAATACCTGCAGTCTAGCTCTTCAAGATATGTATCATCCAGATGGAAGATTTCCACCTCCTGTCTTATGAGAGGAAGTTTGATTCACTACAGGAAATTTTCTTCAGTAGTGAAATTTAGAGCACAAGTTCAGTTTTCTTGGTTTTTTTAATTGTCTTTATCTGTCTGAGATTTTTTTTCCCCCCTCTCTTAATTAAAAATCCAGGGAGGAAGGAACACGAAGGAGTGAGCGAGAGCCTTATTGCTAACTGACAACCGTTCCTGCCAAGTACCAAGAACTTGGGTAAAGCAGGATGGTCATAGCATTGAGTATTTCTCAAGCTTTAATTCCTAAATCCTAGCTGGATGATCACGAAGCTCCTCACTAGAAGGAAGTGTCTGCTTTGTTTCCGATACCTGTAAATAGTTCTTTGGGAAATGTGCTTATTAGAGGAAATATTCTTTACCTCTCTGTTTCTGGGCTGCCACTGTATGTTTTGATGCCGTGGCTCTTTCTAGGGACTGATGCTGTTTCAAACATCTGGAGGGGTTCCCCTGGGTACGGAGAAGTATGATGAGTGCTTTTAGAAAATGGAGATCAGAAAGTGGGTTTATCAAGGTTTAAGAAATAAGTTTCAGCTGTCACTTATCCCATCTTTTGCAGTGAAATAATGATTTTTTTTCATTATTTCACTACCATGAAAAAAGCAAAATAGGTGTTTTGTCTGAAGTGCTATTGGCAGGCACTCTACACGTTCTCCAGAGTCCTCCTCCTACAGAGCAATGCTGATCTTCTCTCCTATTTTGCCTGCATTTGGTTATGTGAACAAGGAGGCCATACCTCTGTGCTGCGCCAACCAGAGCTGTTGCCAGCAACATATCATCACTGTTGAGAAATGGTAAATGCATTTTAACTAGAAGGAGGTAAGGAGTGAACTGCATTTTTAAACGCAAAATACCCTGCATATGTACGCATTTAAACAAAAACTCTAACCAAATAATTATGCTGCAGGATTTGTAGCTATGCAAATGTGCTTTTCACTGAAAAATTGTCAGTGGTGACAACTTGTAAATCTCTTCCATGGAAGATTCTTCCTTTCTCATTTAGAACTTGCTCATTCTTCCCAGAGAGAAGTGAACGCTCTGAAGTCAGTATACGCTTTTAGACATGAAACAGAGATGTACTATTGCGGCTCCTGATACAGAATCAAAATGTGTTGCTTTGCTTTCTGTACTAAGTCAGGAGTGCAATATCGTGTATATTTGCTTATAGAAAGCGTAATTCTTAGCTGTGGTTGGCTAAATTGAAAAGACTGAAGGTAGCAATGCATTTCCCAGATTTCTGTGTATTGATGGAGCAACAAAATGTATTTTGTACTAAATACAAACCACTTCTAAATTCAAAATAGTGTATGTGAGTATATTGTACTTTGTTTAAAGGCTCTTCCCAAACTACACTGACAAAAGAATCCTTCTGTTGTTCAACTGTCTCCCTTCATGTGTTGACCAGTGTGGCTCTACCAAGAACCAGGTTTCAATTTTTGCTCCAAATCAGGTAACTGTTACACGCAACTCAAAAAGAAAAGAGGAGGAGCTGAAAGGAGTGTTATTGGTAGGGCTAAGAATAGGTGTAAGTCTACGCGTTTGGAAGAGGAGGGGCTATAGCAAGGTTTTTAAGACTTAAGGCACAATCACGGATTTGTCATATAGGCAATCTCTAGATGACATGAGCCCTGGCGCATTGTCTGTTCTGAGAAAATTGCATTGAATGTGAAGAGAAATGAAACCCATCGTGTTTCCTGGCATAGAATGGCATCCTTCTTATTGACCAGAAAAGGTATGAGGGGGAGAAGACTTTCTATGCTCATCTGTCTTCTCTACATCTGTCTGGAGCATCTCAAGTCCTATGCGATGGACGATGATTTTTCAGCCTTAATCCTTTGAGGTAACTCCAGGTTTCGTAAATTATTGCAAAATTACTTGGTCAAGCTCAAATGGGTTGCAATTCTCTCTATCATCTGTTTCTCTGCCACCAACTCTTCCTCACCCATCCGTGGGGTAACTGCAGCCAGTTGTCACACCTCTTGGCTCTGGAAATCTGGATGCAGTGCAGCTGGTCTGGCACAGAGAGTATTGGCTCGTACCTTTTGCCAACCTCTCCTAGCAACTCCTCTTAACTATTCAAGAGATTCCCCACAATTGCCACACTATGGAGAGACCATGAAAGTCTGTAAAATATTTCAGAGAAATTGTTAAGTTGTGGAACATCCTCCCCCACCGTGTCTCTGTCTGAAAGAAGGGTTTGCCAGCCTGCTCTGCTCTGGGACAACATACGCCACCAAGGCCAGGCCTAATGAAGGCCTTGATTCTACTCAGTCATGTATAGAAAGTAGCATAATGTTTAGAAAATACTTCATTAATCTCGGTGGGGCAGGAGATGTCAGCGTTTGCCCTCCTAATTGGAGCTGAGGTGTAATGACCCTTTATATAACCAAAGATAATTAAGTGTCCTAGTCAGCCCTATATACTCGAACATAGATTACTCAACTCATTTCCACAATGGATCAGGGGGGAAATAAGTTTTATTCAATTTTTCTAATTTAACTAATGTCACCAGTACATTCATGTCAGACTAGCATTTACAGGAGGGACAAGTGGAAGAGTAAACATGCAGTAAAGAAAATCCTTGTGGACCACTTCAGTCAGTGTCAGGCACGGTTTCAGCAAGAGTAATCCCGCAAGAGTGTGCACAGTAACGCATCACTCGATGTTGTCAAAAGCATGACACAGGAAAAGGATGGATCCATATGAATTCTTGCTCAAGCCTTTGATGTAAATTATTAAACTTTAGCCCAGTTCCAATTTCTGGGCCACTCAAAAACCTCAGTGGTATAGATACTCGCCTTTACCTGTAATGACTTGCTTTAAGGGGGTTGGATCAGGAGAACAGAAAGGCGTGAGTTTGTCCCACGATGACACCGAGAAGGGCAGAGGATAAAGAAATAATCTGTGAGAAGGCACACGTCCTGCTGCCTACTTTTTGATCTTTAAAAGGATATTTTCATCAGTCTTCATGGTGTAATTGGAAAACCGGGATGCCTGGGAAGGCCTGCGATGTCCGCTTTCAATTTCTGCCTTTCTGTGGTTTAATCCAGTAGAAGTTAAACAGCAGTGAGAAGCACCCGTAGGAGAACAAGGGAGCAAGCAGTGATGCAAACAGTGTGAAAGGCAGCGTAGAAGACACGGAAGCTTGTGTATTACTGAGTCAGGAGAGTCACCCTCATTTTGGAGGATGAACATGTAAGAGCCGCATGAGGAGCTATGTACGGCAGCTAAATTAAGCTGAGCCCTTCTGATGGCTTAGGCTGGACCTGGACATAAAATTGCACCACAGCATCCTACTTTTTCTGTTTTCTGTAACATTAATCCATGCTGTTTTCTGTAACATTTCCCAGGCCTGCCGGGCCTTTGCCGTGTTCCCTGTGTGCTGGTCATTCCCCACAGTGATGTTCAGTCCTGTCATTTCAGGGCTGTATGCCAGCCTGGTAACATCTGCAAGAGCCTGACAGTGCCACCGAGTGACTGCGTGTTGTGAGAGTGGGCAGAGATCTGTGTAACACACTGGGACGGCCAGAGGTAGGACTCGCTGACGGTGATGGTGTGAGGATGGGAGCAATGGGAGAGGGAGGTTGGATGTTGAGTCTTTAATCCCTCTGTGTTACCAGGGAAGGCTCACTGCTCGGTGTAAGTCAGATAAGAGCAAAAGTAAAGTGCTGTATTGACACCTGAACTCTGGCTCGTGCGGGAGATGAAGTCTGCTTTCCCTTTGATTCCATCAGTGGCTTTTACTCTGTAAGACAAGAGCATTTGCCATTCGCCCCTGCTCTCTGCTTCGCCAGTCGTCGCTGTTGGGTGCATCACTATACTGGCCTGGGGAATATAGCAAGGGATTAGAGTCCAAACCGGCACTGGTGTAGGCAGACACATCGTACAGGGATGCCTTTGGCTGACCTCCGTGTGCTGGGGCTGCTGATCCAGGAGGCTGAGCTCTAACAGGAGCCGTTCTCCTGGTGAGAGTCACTGAAGTCACTGAATCTCTTCCAATATTCTTCAAAACACGTGGACTCCAGACCACCCTGCCCAGTCATGGCTCGACGGTGCTATAGATACTGTAATGATGCATGCTGCAGCGTTTGGTGCACCTTCCTGTATTCCCTTTTAGCTTTTTTCAACATGTCTATCTTTTAGCTGCACCGTTATGGTCGCTCCTTTTGTCTTCCTCAACAGTCCTGAAGGTCCTGTTCAGGATCCCGTTCAGAATGGCTTGCAGGTATGACCGACCCGTTTTGCTCTTCGGGCGTACATGCCCCGATGTGTTACACCCCTAGTTTCATTCCCTCTCGTTTCCCATATGTAGGCTGTTTGCTGTCTGTGACCTCTGGTGTCACCGACCCCTACGGTCCCAGCACGGTGGCTCCCGTTTGCGTGGGGCTCTCATTTCTAGGGGTGCTGGTGCTGCGGGTCCGCCTGCTTGATTATTGTCCGTTCAAAACCAGAGATGAATGTTCATGGAGATGTGCACTGACGCGTCTCTTCTAAAGAGCAGAAAGGGAAGCAGAGAGGAGCATACCATACTGGAAGAATATTTGCTTCCATTTGAGCGCTGAGGTCCGGGTATTCCGAGCACAAGGAGGAGGGTTCCTGGCTCAGTGGTCTCTTTGCCCATTTCTGTGACTATTTGCTTGTTTGCTGAGAAATGACTTACAGCCCATGTGAGACACAAACATCCCTTTATCACGCAGCTTGTATCACCCTAATGGAATTCTGTCAGCTGAGGATAAAATGTGGACTAGGAAAGCAATTATAGAGTGAATCTCCTAGCTGCGGGAAGAGCTGAGAGATGGGGCCAGAGTGCCCAGCTGGAGTAATTTCCTGTCCGACTGGCCTCTAAATCTTGCTGGGAAGAGATCAATTTTCCACCCTTGTCTAATAGCATCAGCTCCAGTCACCCTGGCTCAGGACCCCGTGAAGTGCTGCAGCGTTGAGATCTAGGCATAAAAGGAAACATTTGCAAT